GAGTCGCCCCTTTTGTCTTAACTGTTCTTGCCTTCTGGCAGCTCTGCGCATGCGCGCACTGGGAACAGGCTCCCCCGTTCCTCTGCCTCGCTGACATCAGATTCTGGAGGCTCCGGAGTCAGCACATAACTCCCAGATGGTCCTGGCCTCATCTTTGCCTCCAATGCAGAGCCCTCGTCCGAGCCTCCCCCAGACTCCAGGACTGGCCCATGTTCCTCCCCAGCCTCCTCACTGTCCGACTCTGCTGCCAGCTCCGCAGACTGCCAGCAAACCACAACACACACATATTTCTTGTTCAAAGACACAAGGAGATGATGAACGTGAAAGCAAGATCTCTTTGCAAAGACAGGGTCATCTTATCGGGGTGAGAAGCCTAGTCCATCCCGTGTGTGTGTGATTCTCGAACACATAGTTTTGCTTCTACGTCTTAACTGAGAATAGAATCTTATTTGATGCTCACAGCAGAGTGAAGCCCCTAGTGAAGCGCCTTTGTCAATTGCAACACAGACAGTGGTGGTGGTGGGGGGGAAGTATTTGAGTTGAACAAAGCATTGTGTAGGTGTAGGAAAAAGCATGTATGTAAAACATGGTTCCTGGTAGTCACCTTGTTAGTGGAATCATCTCTGTTTAATTCCATGTCTCTGATGTTTTCTGTCTCCTTTTCTTTTGGTCAATGGGGAAGATCCCCTTGGAGCTGGAAGACAAAGGATTCCTCAGGACGAAGAAGCCCATCATGTTGAAGTTGGTGCCCAGAGTCATCGTGAAACATGAGGAGTAGACATTCTGGAGGCTGCAAAGAGGCAGTGGTGCCTTCCTTTCCTTCCTTCCTTCCTTCCTTCCTTCCTTCCTTCCTTCCTTCCTTCCTCCCTCCCTTCCCTTCCCTTGCCTTCCCTTCCTTCTTCCCACTCTCCTTCCCTCCCTTCCTTTTCTTCCTCCCTCCCTCTCTCTCTCCCTCCTTCCCTTCCTTTCCTTCTTCCCACTCTCCCACTCTCCCTCCCTCCCTCCCTTTTCTTTCTTTCTTTCTTCCTCATTCCCTCCCTCCCTTTTCTTCCCTTCCTCTTTCCTACTCCTTCCTTCCTTCCTTCCTTCCTCTCTCCCCCTCCATCTTCCTTCCTTCCTTCCCTCCCTGCCTCCCTCCCAATTTTTCTTGGAATCCCTCCTGTCTTCACTTTTTAAAAAGAATATAATAATAATAAACCTGTTTATTTAATAAACACCTCACGCCGTGCTCTTAAGACCCTCCTATTCCAGCAAGCCGGCCTGGCCAAATTTTCTCCCTTTTCTTTTTAATTTTTTAAACTGAAATTTTAATTTGCTTGAAATTATTGGGATTTTTAATTGTCTTGGGCTAAATCATTTAATTTGGTTTTAAATTGTTTCTAACTTTTGTATTTATGTATTTTATTCTGTGCCTGATCACCGCCCTGAGTCCTTCGGGAGTAGGGCAGTATATAAATTGAATAAAACAAAACAAACAAACAAACTTCATTTTGAGTGACACTTGCCAATCAAAGCATCCAAGGAGCCGCACTGTGTACCAGCACAGGTTTCTGAGTCCTCTCTAAGTTTCATTCTTCTTCTGCCAAAGGAAGCTCCTACATCATCTCCCTGCGGGCTGCCTCAGAGTCCCTTGACTAGAATGGTGATGAAATACATAAAAGAGGTTTTGTGAAGAGCTGCTGTACCTGGAGAGAGGAAAAGCACCTGTTGGTCACGAAAAGATTTCACAATAAAAACATACTAGCATCCTGTCTAAACACAACTTTTGAGTAGGGCAGTCATTACAAAGTATCGGGGGAAACCTCTGAGTTTTTCGACAGCTTTAATCTCACCAGGAAATGTCAGATATTGGACTTTCTACCTCTGAAGTAGATGTCCTCCACCAAGCCATTTCTCAAGACCTGGAATAATGCTCGCTTAATACAAGGTGGCCTCATCCCATTACACAACGCAATTCTGGGTGTCGATCAGATGACATAATAGAGTTTAGGCCTGGAGGGGAAGATTTCTATTTTGGGAGAAAGATCTTGGCACAGCGGTTGAAGAAGTCTTAAGATATGGCTAGATTAGAAGACCCAAAGATTACCTACTGTGCTAAGGTACCCTTAGAGACGCGGTGGCTCAGTGGCCAAGACACTGAGCTTGTTGATCGAAAAGTCAGCAGTTCAGCAGTTCGAATCCCTAGCGCCGCATAACGGGGTGAGCTCGCGTTCCTTGTCCCGCCTTCTGCCAACCTAGCAGTTCGAAAGCACGTAAAAAATGCAAGTAGAAAAATAGGAGCCAACTTTGGTGGGAAGGGAACAGCGTTCCGTGCACCTTTGGCATTGAATCATGCCGGCCACATGACCACGGAGACGTGTTCGGACAGCGCTGGCTCTCCGGCTTTGAAACGGAGATGAGCACCGCCCCCTAGAGTCCGGAACAACTAGCACATATGTGCAAGGGGAACCTTTACAAAATTTACCTTAGATAAAAGATACAATTTTAGATGCCTTCAAAACCAGCTGTGGGGGTTTTGCCCCACTCTTCAAAAAGAAGAATCTGCCCCACATCTGTAAATTCAGCAAAATCTGTGTCGGCAACCTTAATGAAGCCAAGCAGAAATAGTTAATCCATGGTGAGATTGTTGTCTCTGTGTCTTCTTTGGGTATCCAGAAAACCTCTGGATATGGTTTTTTAGGGGCTGAGTAAATCATCCTAGCAATAAATGACCTGGTAGAGGGTATTTGCAGTAGATGGTGCTTTGCTCTCCATGTCATTATGAAACTCCAGCTGTAGCTGCCAGGACCCCCTGCTCAGGCAGGAAACCCTCCACCACTTCAGACAAATGGTTATCCAACCTCTTCTTTAAAACTTCCAGTGTTGGAGCATTCACAACTTCTGGAAGCAAATTTGTTCCACTGGTTAATTGTTCTAACTGTCAGGAAATTTCTTCTTAGTTCTAAGTTGCTTCTCTCTTTGATGAGTTTCCACCCATCGCTTCTTGTCCTGCCTTCAGGTGCTTTGGAGAATAGCTTGACTCCCTCTTCTTTGGGGCAGCCCCTGAGATATTGGAGCACTGCTATCATGTCTTCCCTAGTCCTTCTTTTCATTAAACTAGACATGCAACCGTTCTTCATATGTTTTAGCCTCCAGATCCCTAATCATCTTGGTTGCTCTTCTCTGTACTCTTTTTTAGAGTCTCAACATCTTTTTTTACTCCGTGGCGACCAAAACTGGATGCAGGATTCCAAGTGTGGTCTTACCAAGGCATTATAAAGTGGTATTAACACCTCACAGGATCTTGATTCAAATTCTAACTGTAGATCTCAATCCAGTCATTTTCATCTAGGTTTTTTTTCCCCAATGTACCTCTAACCCTGGTCTAAAGGGAATCTGTTTATGAAAGCGCTCTCAACTTTACAGCTCCTAATTCACAGCAGCTTCTCTGGTGGATCGCTCCCTGGCAGTCAGTCAACTGGGTCTGGAGTCTTTGACGGAGAAGACTTTAATGACGAGAGGATCCGGGGTGGCCATGACTGGCTCCTGGCCATCAAACATTCAGAGAAAAGAGAAGACGAGGCATCACTCAATCATTCTTCGGTTATGAATGGCTGTTCGGCCTTCTTTCTCATCCCTGGGAAATTACGTGGAAGATCCATCACTGCAGAATAAATCATCCCAAATAGATCGTTCCTACTGTCTAATTTGCATAAATTTATAAAGGGTGCGGAATATTGATTGAGCTACATATTTTTATTTCATATTTCTTTTCCTCTTCTGAGCCTTGGGAATCAACACGCGTGGGGATAAAAAAAAAATTGTTGCCTACAGAACAAAAATAAGTTTGTGCGGCATTCTTCTTAACGCGCCAGATTTCCAGAAGTGTTGGATAAAAACAAAGAGGCCCCCGTGATAAAATTTCTGACAGTGTTGCAGAACGAAATCAAAAGATGAAGAAAACAGGTACCGTTTAGATACTTGGCAAGTATTCGACATTGCCTTTTCTAAACAGCAGCTGCGTTAAAACTTACACTTAAAAAGATAAAAATTAATACAAACTAAAAAATGAATAATAAGAAAAAGAAAAAGTACCGAAAAGAAAAAATTGAAAGAAAAATCGAAAAGAAAGGGAAAATAAGCATGCAGTAAAGTAAAAGGAATGAAGGAGAAACTTCCTAACAGTGAAGACAATTAACCAGTGGAACAGCTTGCCACCAGAAGTTGTAGGTGCTTTAACACTGGAGTTTTTTAAGAAGGGACTGGAAAAGTCACTTGTCTGAAATGGTCTAGGGGGCTGGACTAGAAGACCTCTAAGGTCCCTTCCAGCTCTATTCTGATTCTGAAAAAGAAAAGAAACGATGGAGGTGACTGCACAGCGCCCAAGGAGAATGACCACATCCTGCAGAGGAAGGGATCTCCTAAGCTGTTGTTCAAATGGAGAGCCCTCCCTCTCCTTGGCAAGCCTCTTCAGTACCACAAATGGACAGTTCACATCCTTCTTCTTCTTCTGAACCCGGCTGCTTCCCACCAAGACACTGGCCAGAAGTTGGAATTCCCAGCAGTGAGGAAGATGCAAAAGGTGGGAAGCTCTGCTCCAAGGTCACGCAAGCAGAATCTGGTTCCTGGAGGAACGGACTCTCCTGCAGACGCAGGGAGCAGCAGACACATCAAGCATCGAGAGAGCAGAGGTGCCCCAGGATCAGCAGCATGGATGGAGAGCGAAACTGGTCCAAGAAAAAGAAGAAGATGGGGGAGAAGGAATGATGGTGGATGAGAAGGAGACAGGAAGGGAAGAGAGGAAGAGGAGAAGGAGAAAGAGAACGAAGGAGGAGAAAAAGGAGGAGAGGAGCGAGCCTCTCCAGCTGTTCGAACTGCCTAGTCCTGGGCTGGCCGGGCGTTCCAGGGCTGGTCATCCTACCGGGGAGTGGCCCCAGGAGGCCGGCCCGAGGAGGAGCCCCGAGGGCGGCTACAAAACCTCGGGGACTCCCAGCCGCGGCTCAGAAGCTGCCAAGGTCGCCGGAGGCCGTGCAGAAGCGCTGGCCATGGGGGAGCCGGTCCTCGGCTGGGCGCTCCTCCTGCTGCTCCTGGGGCTGCTGATGCTGTAGGTGGGGGGGGGGGGCAAAAGGGGGGAAACCCCTCCCCGGAGTTGCAGGGCAGGGGCAACGGGCCGGGGCGGGAGGAGAGCGCTCGGTGGCGTAAAAGCGGAATTTCCAGCCGGTGATTTGGTTGCAGTTCTGTTAAGTTGTGATTTGATTTGATTTGATTTTAGGGTGTTTTTTTTTTCCCCTGTTATACTTTTCTTCTCCTCTCCTCTTTTTTTCCTTTAGCTCCTCTCCTGTTCTCTCTTCCCCCCTTTCCTTTCTTCACTTCTTCTTCTGCTCTCCTCTTCTCACCTTTTCTTTTATCTCCTCTTCTCTCTTCTTTCCTTTCTTCTCCTGCTCTCCTCCTTTTTCTTCTCTTCTCTTCTCTTCTCTTCTCTTCTCTTCTCTTCTCTCTTCTCTATTCTCCTCTCCTCTCCTCTCCTCTCCTCTCCTCCCCTCTCCTCTCCTCTCTCTTCTCTATTCTCCTCTCCTCTCCTCTCCTCTCCTATCCTCTCCTCACTCTTCTCTTCTCTTCTACTCTCTTCTACTTGCTCTTCTCCTCTCCTCTCCTCTCCTCTCTCATCTCTCTTCTCCTCTCCTCTCCTCTCCTCTCCTCTCCTCTCCTCTACTCTACTCTACTCTACTCTACTCTACTCGCTCTTCTCTTCTACTCTTCTCTCCTCTCCTCTCCTCTCCTCTACTCTACTCTACTCTACTCTACTCTACTCTACTCCCTTCCCTTCCCTTCCCTTCCCTTCCCTGCTTTGCTCTCCTCTCTTCTTCTTCCTGTCATTTTCCTCTTGCTCTACTCCAAGCAACTTTGAGCTACATGCAAAAGAATAGGAGATGAAAAACCGCAGAGCCTGCGATATCCAGATGGTGGCACAATCCGGCTGGGCACATACAAAACTCACCCGGTGTGGCTAATTAATAGCTATCAATGTCACTCTTCCTGTTAGCAAGACTGGACCAGGAAATCAATTGCACTGGGAGGCAAAATTTACTTTTATGGAGATCAGTTGTGATAATAAGTCATTGCAAGCATTATTGTGCCGGACTGCCTTTCCCCTCCTTACATAACGGGGAGTTGTCTGCTTGAACAGTTTTGAAGTTCTTCTTTTCTGGACTTAGGTCTTCCAGTCCAACGTCTGTGTAGGCAGGAAACCCCACACCACTTCAGACAAATTGTTGTCCAATCTCTTCTTCAAAACCTCCAGTGATGAAACACCCATAACTCCTGGTGGCAAATTGTTCCACTGGTTAATTGTCCTCACTTGATAGAAAGTTTCTCCTTAATTCCAGGTTGCTTCTCTCCTTGATGAGTTTCCACCCATTGCTTCTTGTCCTGCCTGATTATCCTGCTGATATTCTTTTATTTTGTTTTGTTTTCCAGTTATGGGATCTGGCCGTATAATTTCTTTAAGAAGTTGGGAATTCCTGGGCCAAGACCCCTGCCTTTTATCGGAACTTTCCATGAATATCGGAATGTGAGTGTGTTGTACTAGTATCTTGTAGACCAACTGAATGACTTTGGGTGAAAAGGGGTCCTTCTTTTTTCCCCTTTCCTAAATTGTGGGGGATATTGTGACTTGTGTCAGGAGTGTTGCGGTGGCCTAGAGGTGGAGCTCTCGCCTCACAATCAGGAGGCTGTGAGTTCGATCCTAGGTACAGGCAGTTATTTCTCTCTCTGGGCACACTGAGAATATAACTGCTAAACAAAACTCCGCATTGGCAACATGTAAACGCTCAGCTCCATTCAGTTGCCCGGACTCCACCCCGCAAGGGATTATGGGGTCATTAAAAGAGGAGGAGGATTATGATTGTGACTAGTGTCACCTCTTCTTGGCCTCCTCAAAAGAAGATTCAGGAGAATCAAGGGCAACTAGTACAGCTAGTCCTCAACTTAGGACCGTTTATTTCAGTTGTAAGCTGAGGAGTACCTCTGAAGCCATCTGCCTTTCTTTGGCACCTCTCTTAGAATCCCTCGGTCTTCATTCTGAAACTCTTGTCCCCGTATCGGTTTAACTGTAACATCACATCAATGGAGACTCAACATGCATGGATTGAAGCATTTTTAACGGCCTCTTATACTCTTCCAGTCTTGGCTGGAGAAAGGATTACATTGCATTTACATTTCACACATCTCCTTCTTTAATTCGACAGGGTGTTTTGAAGTTCGACCAAAGATGCTTTGAGAAATATGGCAAGATCTGGGGGTAAGTCACCTGTCGGAATGTCCCCTCCAGAAGGACTTCACAGTTCACCCCGTGATTCTCTAAGAACTGCATTATTTAATTTGGTTTTGATCACCGGGGAGAGTTGTAGGCTGGATAGCTTCTTGTCATTCCTGAGAGTTAGTTCCACTCCTCCTCAATTCCTTAAGGGGTAATCAATTGTGCAGAATCACAGCTGCAAATATGCACCACTTTGGATACCAATAAAGGAGAATATCTGTAGCTCGGGGCTGACATGAGGGGTTCTTGGTGCCCTCTGAGCTTGATTGTTTTCTTGCAGGCGTTTCATGACCCAACTAGGTAACATCATCAGTGCTAGAAGGGAGTTGTGTTTGTGGAGAGGTGGTGGTGGTAGAGGCGGAGGCGGAGGAGGAGGAGGAGGAGGAGGAGGAGGAGGAGGAGGAGGAGGAGGAGGAGGAGGAGGAGGAGGAGAAGAAGAAGAAGAAGAAGAAGAAGAAGAAGAAGAAGAAGAAGAAGAAGAAGAAGAAGAAGAAGAAGAAGAAGAAGAAGAAAACAAGAAAACAAGAAAACAAGAAAACAAGCAAGCTCAAAGAGCACCAAGGACCCTTCACTTCAACCCTGAGCTACAGATATTCTCCTTTATTGGTATCCAGAGGGCTGTGTATGTTGCAGCTGGGATTGATGATGTTACCTTGTTGAGTCGTGAAATGTCTGCAAGAAAACAACCAAGCTCAGATAGCACCAAGGATCTCCTCACACATCCCTTTTGAGTCGAGAATCAAACATTAGGACCATGTTCTCTGCTTGGCCAATTGTTTAGCTGAAAAATAGGAAGGCTTGATCCTGTCTTCTTATAAAGACAATAGTCTACATTTCAAATCTTTTTTTATTTTGACAATTAGAATATTTGATGGCCGGCAACCTGTGATGGCCATTTTGGATCCCGCCCTCATTAAAACCATCCTGGTTAAAGAATTCTATACTTATTTCACCAATCGCCGGGTAGGTATCCTAACTTGAGGTTGTGAGAACTTCACTGGGGCTGGGAAATAGAAGTCCTGCAAGGGAATTTAGAAGAGAAGGCCTAGTATTGTGGTTTAGATGTTGGGCTGACCCTGGGGAGACCTGGGTCCAAGGTCTCCCTCAAAACTGGAAGCCACCTGGGTGACTTTGGCCCAATCACTCTTTCTCAACCTAACTCATATAATGGTTGTGGAAGAGATTGGAGAAGGAACAATATATATGCCATCTTGAATTCCAGAATGGTAGTAGATATCTGTCTGTCTGTCTATCAGACAGAAAACAGACAGATGATAGAGAAAGATGGATAGATGGATGGATGGATGGATGGATGGATAGATAGATAGATAGATAGATGATAGATAGATAGATAGATAGATAGATAGATAGATAGATAGATAGATATTGATAATTATCATTATCAATGATAATTGATAGATGGATAGATAGATATTGATAATGATAGAGAGATGATTGATAGATGATAGATAGAGAGATGATAGAGAGATTGATAATGATAAACAGATAATAGAGATAGATGGATAGATAGATGATAGATAGATAGATAGATAGATAGATAGATAGATAGATAGATAGTATACTTAGTTAAGAATACAGCAAATTGAAAAGAAAGGACGGAGAAGAATAACAGGAGGCATTTCTGTTTTTATTTTCTTGCTCTTTCACCTTATTCAGGACTTTGGTCTGAATGGAAATCTGGACACAGCCATAACTGTCGTTGTCGATGAACAGTGGAAGAAGATTCGCAGTGCCTTGTCTCCCACTTTCACCAGTGGAAGGCTGAAAGAGGTAAGAGATGAGGGTTGTGTTCTGTCCCCGTACCATGCACACACCCAACCAGCCAGCCAAGGGTTAAATAAACTCTTCAACACACAACGTCAGTGATAAGGAACTTGGCAGCAACTCCATGGCTGCCTGCCAAGAGTTTTTACTCCGATAACACAGACAAAAAAACACACAGTTTGAATAGTCCAGTTTGCAATTAAATCCACGGCAAAGAGGTGTTGTGTCCGAAGGTGCAAAGTGCCTCGCCAGAGATTAGCTTTGTCCGTCACAGAGTCCGAATGGCCACCACACTCCCTTTTATAGCCTGTGGGGTGTGGTCCAGTGACTCAGCTTAATCTCTGGCACGCCTCCTTTTCTGCTGCTCACGCTTGTCTCTCTGACGCTGGCATGGGTCCAACCACAATGTTTCTTCGTCACTATCCGATGGCTCGGAAACACCTGGCTCCTGGCCAATCTCTTCTCCTTCAGGAGACACCTGAGGCATTGCCAGAGAGGAGGGTCCTGGAGAGGGAGGCCTGGCCGTCTCCTCTCCTTCATGTTCGGAGCCTTCTTCCTCCGATAAGATAGGCTTGGAGGATGGAGCCACAACAGGTTGGAGGCCCTTTGGACTTCTCAAGGATTCTTGTGTTGCCTGAAGAAAACCAAGAAAGCTGCCCTTAAGCATTGTCAGCGGTTGATTTGAAGCGAAGTCTGCCTTAGATAGCATAGAGCAGTGATGGCGAACCTTTTCAGCACCGAGTGCTGAAATGGTCGCACAGAAACATCGTGCACATGCGCTCGTCAGAGCCATGCTCCAGAAAAGCCGAATTGCCATGTTCTAGTGTGCATATATAACTAGGTAAATAGGTGACTGTAGATATTGATACAAATAGAAATATGAAAAATAACCCACCGTTGTAATATCTTCTAAGAGTCAGTCATTGGACTGAATTGATGTGTGTTCATTTTGTATGTTGTTTCAATGTATTTATGTTGGTTTTGTTTTTTCTTTTTATTATTAATAAAAACTATTAAAAAAAAAAAAGTAAATGGCTCTCTGAGCTGACTTGTTGCTTTCATTCTATAAAGTGTCTTCAGCATCTTCTCCGTTGGTCTTCCTTTCAGATGATGCCCATCATCAACCATTATAATGAAATCTTGGAGAAGAACATCCAGAAGAAAGTGGAGAAGGGTGAAACCATAGATATGAAGCTGTAAGTAATATCTGTGAGGTTGGCTAGGGAGCTAACAGAAATTTACAAAAGGGGAATTTGTAATGCAAATTTGTAATCCAAATGGATTCACATTTTCCATAATATGTGGAATCCCTCGTGCAGCTGTTAAGGATTCCCTGAGATCATCTGTTGAAGGTATCGTGAGGTGGCTTCTAATGGTTCTAATGGTTGAACACATTGGCAACAAAAACCAGAACACCAAATACAAGCTGGGCGAATACGACCTCGTAGACGACCTTCACTCTGTCAAGGACCTAGGAGTATTCATTTCAAATGATATAAGCGCCAGAGCTCACTGTAACAGCATTGCCAAAAAGGCATTAAGAGTTGTTAACCTAATTTTGTGAAGCTTCTTCTCCGGTAACCCTGCACTGCTAAGTAGGGCATACAAAACCTTTGCCAGACCAATCCTCGAATACAGCTCATCTGCCTGGAATCCGCACTGTATATTGGACATTAATACAATTGAGCGGGTCCGGAGGTATTTCATGAGAAGAGTCCTCCACTCCTCTGCTTGCAATAGAATCCCTTATGCCACCAGGCTTGAAATTTTGGGCTTGGACAACCTTGAACGTTGCCGCCTACGGTCTGACCTAAGCATAGTACACAAAATTGTCTGCTATAACGTCGTACCTGTCAATGACTACTTCAGCTTCAACCGCAATAATACGCGGGCAAACAATAGATACAAACTCAAGCTCCAAACTCGATTGCAGAAAATACGACTTCAGCAACAGAGTGGTCAATGCCTGGAATGCCCTACCTGACTCTGTGGTTTCTTCCCCAAACCCCCAAAACTTTAACCTTAGACTGTCAACCTCACCCCATTCCTAAGAGGTCCGTAAAGGGGGCGTGCATAAGTGCACCAACATGCCTACCGTCCTTGTCCTACTGTTCCCCCATTTATTTGTACTCATTTCATGTGCTCTTGTCCATGTTCATACTTATACCTGTTATCAATTTTCTTACTTCTTCGTAGGGTTTATGTGTGTTTTTCTCTTCTAGCCAGGTTTTCCCTACGTAACCAAGGTTTTTTTGTAGCTCCAGCTCAGTAGAATCACATCTACTCGGTTTGGGCTTTTTTCCTTTCTAACAGCTAGCAAGCTCTAACTGCTAGGTGGGAGACCTAAATAGATCCATTTCTAGCTCGTTTGCTTTCATCAGTAGGCCACACCCATATCTTATGTATCCTCCCTGTAACGGTACAGTATCAATTTTCTTACTTCTTCGTAGGGTTTATGTGAGTTTTTCTCTTCTAGCCAGGTTTATACCTGTTTATACCTGTTATCTTGTACATGTTTGACAAACTAAATAAATGAATAAAATGAATAAATAAATAAACCTCCATGCTACGCTTCTCCTTCATCCCTCCAGGATCTTTGCAGCCTACAGCTTGGATGTGGTAACCAGCACTTCATTCAGTGTCAACATTGATTCCCTCAACCATCCCGACGATCCGGTTGTTGTGCACATGAAGAAGTTCCTCAGATTTAGCTTCCTCAGCCCTGCTTTAATCTTGGCTGGTAAGATGTCTTTGTAGGCCGCAAAGGCTGGCCTTCATGCTTGACATTTTTAGGCCACATAGGCCGCCCTTCGTGCTTGACATTTTCATGGAGGACACAATTGTGTGTCGCTCACCTCATCGTCAGAAAATTGTTTTTGCATTTTTTACTACCAGTTCGGTGAACCAGTAGCCTTTTCTACTACCTGTTCGGGCGAACCGGACCAAACCAGGAGCATTTCACCCCTGGTTTTAGACTGCCTCAATCATGATTGTTACCTTCTGATGTAACTACAATTTTGCTAGAATCTCTTACCTCAACAAAGCTCATGGAGACCTCCTATGGGTTTTTCTCGTCGCTGTGTTGCAACTTGGTTGTGTTTATGTAAATGATCTGTTTGCTTTTCTCCCCACCCCACACCTTCCCCCCAGTCCTTTTCCCATTCCTTATCCCAGTTCTGGAGAAATTCAACTTGACCATATTCCCCAAGTCTTCGGTAGACTTCTTCCTCGAGATCTTGAAAAAGATCAAAGAAGATCGACAAAAGAAGGACCACACGGTCAGTCTGGGCTTTTCGTCTCATGCTTGCTCTTCTTCCGTGGCCCTCGGGAGCTGGGTTTTTGTGCTCTCGGTGTGTGTTTGTGCGTTCCAAGCAGGTTTCAGAACTTCCACTTGCGTTTCAAACAGATTCTGATAAAGGAGAATAAAGGGAGTGGGATTTGTGGAGTGATGATGATGATGATCAGGAGGAGGAGGAGGAGGAAGAAAAACTGTGGGGTCGTTGATGCTCTCTGAGCTTGCTTATTTTCTTTCACTCGTTTCATAACACCATCAGTGCTATGATGATAACAAACCCTCCCCCTTCCCTTCTACCGCTGATGATGTTCCCTAGTTGGGTAGTGAAACATCTGCAATAAAACAAGCAAGCTCAGAGAGCACCAAGGAGCCCTCACACACCTTCTAATTCTGCAGTGGGCAATTGGACCCATCAATGACAGTTCCATCTCCTTAATGACCATTCTCTACCATTCCAGAACCGAGTTGATTTTCTTCAGCTCATGATGGACGTACAAGCTGCAGCCATCGCCTCTGGGGATTCAGAGAAAGGTAAAGTTACAGATCTTGCTTTTGAAAATATATATATATATATATAAGGTTGCTTGGAGCATATTGAGGCACATGGATGAACTCAAGATAAGCATTAGCAAAAAATGCTAAGACCACGAGGTCATTGTCCTCACTGTTAGGAAGTTTCTCCTTAGTTCTAGGTTGCTTCTCTCCTTGATTAGGTTCCATCCATTGTTTCTTGTCCTGCCCTCAGGTGCTCTGGAGAATAATTTGGCCCCCTCCTCTCTGTGGCATCCCTTCAAATCTTCGATGGAGGATATCACCTACATCACTCCTTTAAGTGACTATCGCCTTGGATTTTCAGTTTACCTTACTTTAGGTCATCGTGATCCAGAAGGGATGCAACTTCATTTGATTAAACTAACATTTGGTATTTTAGTTTCCCCAGGCTGCAGCTGCAAATACAGCTGCTGATGTTCTTCATGTGATGAGACAGAGAAAGAGACAGAGACAGAGAGAGACAGAGACAGAGACAGAGAGAGAGAGAGAGAGAGAGAGAGAGGCAGAGAGAGAGACACACACAGAGAGAGAGAGAGAGACAGAGAGACACAGAGAGACACAGAGAGAGAGAGACAGAGAGAGAAAGACAGAGAGAGAGAGACAGAGAGAGAGAGACAGGCAGAGAGAGAGACACACACACAGAGAGAGAGAGAGACAGAGAGAGACAGAGAGAGAGAGAGGGAGGGAGAGAGAGGGAGCTGTCTAAAGTTGTTGATCAAATCGGATCCCCTGGATAATTGACCTACCCTGAAAGCCACAACAAATCAGTCTGAGATATTTGCTGTTGTGTAGGTGTGGTGTAAGAGTGAATGCAGTTTGGATGATCACAAACTTCTTCTGTGCTTTCCTTTCTCGTCCAACAGCTTTAACAGACAAAGAGATTTTGGCCCAGTCAATTTTTTTTATCTTTGGTGGCTATGAGACCATCGGTACCTCCCTCAGCTTCATGTCTTATTGTCTGGCCACGCACCCCGACGTTCAAGAGAAATTGTACCAAGAGATCAATGACACTTTTCCCAATCAGGTAAGACTCTCTTTTTTGGGGTGCTCTCTTGGTTGAGGATGAGTCATTTTAGGAGCTGTCAGGCACAAATAACTAGACCTACACATGCAGAGTTCAAGCTAACTACTTTATTATGTTCTGCCTATAGTACAGGAATCTCCCCGTCTAGCAGCCAGCTCCTGGGAATAATTAGATAAAGCTCCAAGGAACTGGAGTGGGATCAGACCTAGTTCTTTTGTGGTTGCGCAGTGACTCCAGGCTAGTTCCTCGTTTGATCCCTCCTCCTTGTCAGGTTGGGTGCTTCCCAAGTGTAGCAGATGTGTTTGTCCAGAAGAGCAAAACCAGAGTCTTATTCTGACAGGACAGGATTTCTTTTCCTTTTTGCAATTCTTACGTAACTGAAATGGGAATCTTAATTAGATGGGAGGTGGCCAGTTTTCCACAATTTCTATTCCACAAGAAATAGAGAGAGGGGGGGAGGGGGTAGAAAGATAGGTAGATAGGTAGATAGATAGATAGATGATAGATAGATAGATAGATAGATAGATAGATAGATAGATAGATGATAGATAAATAGATGATAGATAGATAGATAGATAGATAGATAGATAGATAGATGATAGATAGATAGATAGATAGATAGATAGATAGATAGATAGACAGACATACACACACACATATCTTTATCTATATAACTGTGTGTCTTTGTGTGATGAATGTATACACACACATATATATGCTCACACACACAATTACACACACACACACAGAGAGAGAGAGAGAGAGAGAGAGAGAGAGAGAGAGAGAGAGAGAGAGAGATAGAAAGATAGAAAGAAAGATATAGATAGATATACATACATACATAAAAGAAGAAACAGACATCACGATCTCTGGAATTTAAAATATATTATCCACTGGATAGTATATTTTAAGTTCCAAAGATCGTGATGTCTCTCTCTTCTTTTATAGCTACACCTGGAACTTGTATTTTTAGGATAGTTCGCAATATATGTATGTGTGTGTGTATGTTGTATTTATACGTATGTGTGTGTGTAATTGTGTGTGTGCGTATATACCTACATGCATGCATACATGCATGTGTACACATGTACACAACCAACACAATGAACGTATCTATATGCAGGTCACTTCTTATATACTAGAATATCATATTACTTTATTTTGTTTTGTTTTTGCCTTTTGTGCAGACCCCGCCCACCTATGACGCACTCCATCAAATGGAATATCTCGATATGGTGGTGAATGAAACTTTTCGCCTTTACCCTCCGGGGACACGGCTTGACAGAATTTGCAAAAAGACAGTGGAAATCCATGGAGTGACCATCCCACAAGGGACTGTGGTTATGATTCCCGCTTATGTCCTACATCGGATCCCCGAATATTGGCCTGAGCCCGAAGAGTACAGACCTGAGAGGTATGTTGTGAGGAACTCTGTCCTTCTGAAGTCACACAGGACATTTTTTTATGATCCACCCCCATAAACTGTGCGTGGAACTTAATTAACTCCATGGGAGAAAATGATGCCTAAACTGACTGTAGCAGCTGAGACAATGGCTTCGTTTAATGTCCCAACAACTGAACGAAAAGCTGTAGGGCAGCTGGCATCAAGCCACACTGATAGGAGTTGAAGAGTAAAAGTACATGAAGGAAATTACATTTCATCTACCATCTTTTCATTTAAAAAAGATTCCCTCCTTGAACCGTGACAGGTGGGTCAAAATAGGAGAAATAGGCCTTGTTGACCTACATTGTAGCTGTCACTAATTGGATGCCGTAGAAGGCTCAAGGATTCGTGGGCATAACTCCCCGAGAAATCCAAATTAATTAAGCAGAAACTACTTCTAAATACTTCTCTTTCTTGTTCCTCATGAGCTTAAATGGACTCCAGGGGATGGTAGAGGACAGGAAGGCCTGGAGGAACGTTGTCCATGGGGTCGCGATGGGTCGGACATGACTTCGCAACTAACAACAACATTGTTCCTCACCTGTAGACAGAATCTTACCAAACTAAAGCAACTTCTTGCATCATTAAAAATATTCTTGTCAGAGGCGAAGAATCAGAACATACGTTAAGTTGCAGTTCAGAAGATTTATTGCTCCAGCCAAAAATCTAATCATCTAAAGTTCAGCACTAAATTGGCACCAGATAAGGGTGAATGGGGGTTAGACCGTGGGAACATAAAAACTCTAGGTTAACGACCACCTCCCCAGCTATGCCCACTCTTCTCCTAAAATACTCTGAGAATCGATACAGAAGGGCCATCTTAATTCTCTTCCCGCCAACCAAACCATATAAATTTCAGTCTTTTGGTCCTCTGAAATGCAGCCCCTCCCTTCTGGGACTCCAGACTACATTCCACCACATCAGATCCACAATGATCTCTCTCCACAAACATTTATCTTTCTTCATTGGTCTCAGTCCAGTTTATCCAGTGGTGAAGGAGCCAGTTACAGTTAGAGTTACAGAACTGAGGTACAGACTATTGGGAATAGTAGCTTTACTCAACCGTGATTTTTTTTTCCGATTTGCAAACAGGTTTAGTAAAGAGAACAAAGAGAGCCTAGACCCGTATGTGTTCCTCCCTTTCGGAGCGGGTCCCAGGAACTGCATCGCTATGCGTTTCGCCCTCCTGGTGCTGAAAATGGGTCTGGTGGTTTCGCTGCAAAGATTTCGCTTCCAAACCTGCAAAGAAACACCGGTGAGTTTTACAACTTGGGTTGGTTCCTGCTCATCTGCTAAAGAGCTTACTCAACCGATTTCCCGTTTCACACATATGTGTTGTTCAAAGACACAAGGAGGTGATGAACGCATGAAAGCAAGATCTCTTTGGAAAGACAGGGTCATCTTATCAGGGTGAAAAGCCTACTCCATCCCATGTGTGTGTGTGTGTATGTGTGTGTGAGAGAGAGATTCTCTGTGTGTGATTCTCCAACGACTAGGTTCTGCTTCTACGTCTTAACTGAGAATAGAATCTTATTTGATGCTCACAGCAGAGTGAAGCCCCTAGTGAAGCGCCTTTGTCAATTGCAACACAGACGGTGGTGGTGGGGGAGAAGTATTTGAATTGAACAAAGCATTGTGTAGGTGTAGGAAAAAGCATGTATGTAAAACACGGTTCTTGGTAGTCACCTTGTTAGTGGAATCACCTCTGTTTAATTCCATGTCTGTGATGTTTTCTATCTCCCTTTCTTTTGGTCAATGGGGAAGATCCCCTTGGAGCTGGAGGACAAAGGATTCCTCAAGACGAAGAAGCCCATCATGTTGAAGTTGGTGCCCAGAGTTGTCGTGAAACATGAGAAGTAGACATTTTGGAGTGTTAAGGATATTGTTGTGTCACCACCAGAGTCATGGAGCTCATAAAGCAGAGTACCATCAGAAGTTTTTATGCACGGAAATGGTTTTGAGAGTAATTGTGAATAACATGTAGACAAACTAGTTTTATATTACTTTATTTTGAGGGTAAAGCGAAATCAAAGTCATTTAACAATCCAAGTCTTGGATTGTTAAATGACTATGATTTAAATATAAGTGCAATATATAAAGTGCAATATATAAAGTGCAATACCCCCAGGAATACGACTAATCCCGGACCTCCGGACCTTCCGTTGAGCTTTGAAGACCTTCCTATTTCAGCAAGCTGGGCTGGCTTAAAATTTTAATGGGTTATTTTAAGGGTAATGGGTTTTAATGTTTTGGGATGCCAATTCGATTTAATTCTGCTTTTAAATTATTTTAAATTTTGTATTGTATGTATTTTAATTTTGGCTGTGCACCGCCCTGAGTCCTTCGGGAGAAGGGCGGTATACAAATTTAAATAATAATAATAATAATAATAATAATAATAATAATAATAATAATAATAATAATAATATAAGATCAATTCAGGGAAATAAAATATTCTTACCAGTTTGTAGAAAAATACAAGGAACATTCAGGAATATAAAAATAGTTCAATAAATACCAGGAAACATTAATAAATAACCCATGATCAAACATTGACCATTTAGAGAGATCAATAATAGTTACAGCATAGTAGCAGGTAAAAATTTGGTGCAGTGAACACAACTAATCACAATAAAGCTCTCCTTAAATAGATTGGCTACAGATCTTATCCAATCAGCATGCAGAATGACTCGGCAATATTCTTAAAGCAACATAATACATTTACACAATACAAACATACAATGTTGGATTATATATTGCCTGGCTAACTAGTTAGGCAATGACCATTTCCTAACATGGAGGCTGCAAAGAGGCAGTAGTGTCTTCCTTGTAACTCATTCTCAGCGTATTCTCAGCGTAATCTAAATGAAATGAAAGCAAAGTCCTCAAAACACCAGTCTTTAGTTTATCTCTGACCTTGGGATAATTAGGCAAACTGCCAAAAGCTTTTCTTGGCAACAGTTCAGGAACAGAAGAAATAACTACAGCCAAAAAAGTTACATATTGAAAGTATCACCAAATCAGAGATGGGTTTCAGCAGTTCTGACCAGTTCTACAGAACCGGTAGTGGATTTTTTTTTTTTTGGATTTTTTTTTTTATTTTTAAACAAACAAAACATAAAAATCCATCTTCCATTAACAATTACAAACAGTGTGTCGATTGGTTACAAATCCTTTGTGCTTCGTCCCCATATTCATATTTTACTAAGTATCCAATTCCTCATAATATCAATCTAATATATATCTTTATATCATTATCATCATTTGTCATTTATCTAACAATGGCATTATCATTCCCAAAAAAAATTGTCACATATTATATTATAACATTCATTTTATAATACATATTTCATTTCCATGTTTTAGTATCTAGCCATTGGTAAAATAAACTCCCATATCTTATAATATTGTTTGTCGTCTTGTTCTCTAATTTCAAATGTCAATTTACTCATTTCAGCACATTCCGTGATTTTCTTAATAACTTCATCTTGCATTGTTATTTTCTCATTTTTCCAGTTTTTAGCAAACACAATTCTAGCCGCTGTCAATACATTCACAATCAAATATCTCAATTCTCTGTTATATGTTTCTGGCACAATTCCCAATAAAAAAATCTCTGGTTTAAAGTCTATGTGTTTTTTTGTCATTTTTTCCAACCATGTGTGGATTTTAGTCCAGTATCTTTTGGCTTCTACACATGTCCACCACATATGGTAATATGAGCCCGGTATCTGATGACATTTCCAACACTTTTCCGATTTATTCTTGAACATTCTGGCAATTCTCGTCGGGGGAAGATGCCACCTGTAAAATATCTTATACAAATTTTCCTTATATGCTGTTGACATTGACATTGTCATTTTATTTTATTTATTTATTTGTTCAACTTGTATGCTGCCTTTCTCCGAAGACTCAAATGGACTAATTTTCCACCCACAATTTTTGCCATTTCTCTAAGTCAATTCCATAACCAAATTTTTTTCCCCCATGCTATCATTGTTTCTTTAACTTGTTCTTCTTCCAATTTTACCTCCAGTAAATAACCATACAGTTTTTTAACTTAAATTTTAACTTAAATTTCCGGTAGTGGAAATTTTGAGTAGTTTGGAGAACCGGTAGTAAAAATTCTGAATGGCCCCGCCCCTATCCTCTGCATCTTGAGTCCCAGCTGATTGGGAGGAAATGGGGATTTTGCCGTATCCTTCCCATGGAGTGGGGGGGGGAAATGGAGATTTTGCAGTATCCTTCCCCTGCCACGTCCACCAAGCCACACCCATAGAACCGGTAGTAAAAAATTTTGAAACCCACCACTGCCCCAAATCCCTCCCCCCAAGGACCCAGGCTGAATGTCCAATCCCCAACTCATATGGTGTCATGTGGGGTGCATCTTCAGATTTTTTCGCCCATCTGGTTGATCTTGACTGGGTCTAAACGAGTCCATTCAGCTGCGCAGTAGATCATGAGAGCAATCCTCCCTTTTCGTTCACACAGGACATCTCTCTCCAGCTCACTTCCCCACCCAAATGCCAATCTTCCCCCCTCCCCATTACTATGGCAGCCAATAGCAAGCAAGCATCATAGAGGCTGACATTCAGCCCTCCTGCAGTAGAGATGTGAACCCTGGAGGAAAAAAAACCCCAATACAAAATAGACAAAATAGAAACAAACATAACAACCCAAAATACAGGATTATGTACAGTAATAAGACTAAGGCTTATGAGGATATTTAGTGTGAAACAGTTGTAAATAGAATAGAATAGAATAACAGAGTTGGAAGGGACCTTGGAGGTCTTCTAGTCCAACCCCCTGCTTAGGCAGGTTTTGGGGCTCTGACATCTCGCTAGTTCACCCATTCAGATTGAGAGGGAGGAAAATGTTTCCAGATTACCAAATACTGTACTTTCTCCCTATGTTTCCTGGAATTTAGGATCTCTTTGACCTCGAAATGTCGCTCTCCTTTGATGAGGAGGGGAACAGGTGGAGTAGGTCGATCTTGGTCGGAGGGAGTAGGTATGTTCAGGTTTCAACATGAAACACAGGGTGGATCCTTCTAAGGATTTAAATAACTCTAACTCAGTGGTGAAATCCAAATTTTTTTACTACCGGTTCTGTGGGCATGGCTTGGTGGGCGTGGTGTGGTTTGGTGGGTGTGGCTTGGTGGGCATGGCAGGGGAAGGATACTGCAAAATCCCCATTCCCACCCCACTCGGGGGCCAGCCAGAGGTGGTATTTGCTGGTTCTCTGAACTACTCAAAATTTCCACTACCGGTTTTCGGAACTACTCAAAATTTCCACTACCGGTTCTCCAGAACCTGTCAGAACCTGCTGGATTTCACCCCTGCTCTAACTGTACCAAGACCGGGTTTACAATCCTTACAATGGGGAAAGGACCCACATACTTAGGTGCCAATTTCTTTGACTTCTGGGTAGTCTGTAAGTACTTAGTAGACAAGAAAACCTATCCCCAACTCGATAGTCCTTTGGCATAGCTCTTTTCTTGTCAGCCTGTCAACCCTCAAAACGAGGCTATAGAGCACTGCACACCAGAACAACTAAACACAAGAACAATTTTTTCCCCAAACGCCATCACTCTGCTAAACAACTAATTCCCTCAACACTGTCAAACTATTCACTAAGGCTGCACTACAATTAATCTTCTCATCGTTCCCATCACCCATCTCCTCCCACTTATGACTGCATGACTGTAACCTTGTTGCTGGTATCCTTACGATTTATATTGACTGTTTCCTAATATGATTTGATTGCTTATCTGTACCCTATGACTATAATTAAGTGTTGGACCTTATGATTCTTGATAAACGTATCTTTTATTTTATGTACACTGAGAGCGTATGCACCAAAGACAAATTCCTTGTGTGTCCAATCACACTTGGCCACTAAAGAATTCTATTCTATTCTATTCTATTCTATTCTATTCTATTCTATTCTATTCTATTCTATTCTAATTTCATTGTTCTGTTCTGTTCCTGATTCTGTTCTGTTCTATTCTATTCTATTCTATTCTATTCTAATCTAATTTCATTGTTCTGTTCTGTTCCTTATTCTGTTCTGTTCTGTTCTGTTCTATTTTATTCTATTCTATTCTATTCTAGTCTAGTCTAGTCTAGTCTAGTCTAATCTAATCTAATTTCATTGTTCTGTTCTGTTCCTTATTCTGTTCTGTTCTGTTCTGTTCTATTCCATTCTATTCTATTCTATTCTATTCTATTCTATTCTAATCTAGTCTAGTCTAATCTAATCTAATTTCATTGTTCTGTTCTGTTCCTGATTCTATTCTATTCTGTTCTGTTCTGTTCTGTTCTGTTCTATTCTATTCTATTCTATTCTAATTTCATTGTTCTGTTCTGTTCCTGATTCTGTTCTGTTCTGTTCTGTTCTATTCTATTCTATTCTATTCTATTCTATTCTATTCTATTCTATTCTATTCTATTCTATTCTATTCTATTCTATTCTATTATATTATATTATATTATATTATATTATATTCTAATTTCATTGTTCTGTTCTGTTCCTGATTCTATTCTATTCTATTCTATTCTATTCTATTCTATTCTATTCTATTCTATTCTATTCTATTCTATTCTAATCTAATCTAATCTAATCTAATCTAATCTAATCTAATCTAATCTAATTGTTCTGTTCTGTTCTGTTCCTGATTCTATTCTATTCTATTCTGTTCTATATTCTATTCTATTCTAGATGGCTCTTTTCTCTCCATGTCATTACGGAACCTCCCAGCTGTAGCTGCCAGGATCTAATCTGGATTTAAAGATAAATTTCACTTGCTAATTGGAGAAAAGCTGGAGAAAAATCAGTTTTTAATAAAACCTGGGACTGAGACTCAAAGAAACATTTCTTCAGTGCTCTTTCCCCATCATGGAAAAGTCCTGCATCTTTAAGCCACTCCGCTTATATTGGAAAGGAGGAGTGTATATATGTACTTCCTTATTTAAAAGACAACTATTATTACCCAAAGCTATTTTATCTGGCACCTGTCATAGCTCTTGCATGCGCAGGAAAGATTACATGGTAATAATAATAAAAAAAAAGCTGATTTATCTGACAGAAAAGCACGTGGGGGCAAGATAAGGTCAGCAATAACCTTAGCTTGCAACTTTGCTCTGTTTTAAATGGAGCTGTTTCTGATGAAGATAAATGGGTTCTCGGGAAGAGATTCAGGGGCCAGGAAGGTGTGAGCTGTTCGGACACGAAGTCGCAAAAAGATTGACCCATGGGGGCTCAGTCCAGAGGTGGGTTTCAGCAGGTTCTGACCAGTTCTGGAGATCCGGTAGCGGAAATTTTGAGGAGTTCGGAGAACTGGTAAATACTACCTCTTGTTGGCCCCGCCCCGATCTATTCTCTGCCTCCCGAGTCCCAGCTGATCGGGAGGAAATGGGGATTTTGCAGTAACCTTCCCCTGGGGTGGGATGGGAATGGAGATTTTGCAGTATCCTTCCCCTGGAGTGAAAACTAATCAAGGAGAGAAGCAAATTAGAACTACGGAGAAATTTCCTGACAGTGAGGACAATTAATCAGCGGAACGACTTGCCTCCAGATGTTGTGAATGCTCCAACACTGAAAGTTTTTAAAAAGATGTTGGATAACCATTTGTCTGAAGTGGTGGAGGGTTTCCTGCCTGGGCAGGGGGCTGGACTAGAAGATCTCCAAGGTCCCTGCCAACTCTGTTATTCTATTCTATTGAACTAAGTTGTTTTTTTTCCCCGGTCCCAATTGCGTTCGTAAGTCGAGGATCACCTTTAAAGAGGAAAGGCCAGGATGTGAGTCAACCATTTGATGAAGCCAAGCTTCAAGCTACACACCTAACACATGCCGTAAAAAAGACACCGATTTGTTTGCCAACCGTCTTGCAAGGATGACACAGTGAAAACAAGGAAGTGAACTTTTTGCCAAAGGGAACTGAGCAACCAGTGAAAGGACAAAAACATTTGCGTGCCAACTACAGATCCTGCATTCCTTCTTTCTAAGGAGCCTTTCCCCTCCCTTGGCCAACAGCAAAGTTGATTTACTTGAAGCACATGCTAAATCGCAGTAGGCCAACAACTGTTGCCAGCTACCAGCTAGAACCCGAAGAGCTGAAAGGCACAGAGAGAGCTGCAACTGAAGTCCTGTTTTCCCTCCCGCCCTCTGCCTGTTTGTTTAATTGTTGGCTTTATTTAATGGCCGCTTTATATAGTGACTACTGTCCATTGCAGTCCGTTTTTTTTTTTCCTGGCCTCGGGCACCTTACATTATAAAAAATTCCCCCTTGGGTTTGAAAGAACCATTAAAATGGAATGGAATGAATAGAGTAGAGTAGAGTAGAGTAGAGTAGAGTAGAGTAGAGTAGAGTAGAGTAGAGTAGAATAGAATAGAATAGAATAGAATAGAATAGAATAGAATAGAATAGAATAGAATAGAAGAGAATAGCAGAGTGGGAAGGGACCTTGGAGGTCTTCTAGTCCAACCCCCTGCTTAGCCAGGAAACCCTATACCACTTCAAACAAATGGTTATCCAACATCTTCTTTAAAAACCTCCAGTGTTGGAGCATTTACAACCTTTGGAGGCAAGTGGTTCCACTGATGAATTGTTCTGTCGGGAAATGTCCCC